TGTTCTCATAGCTTTATTGGCATGCTATTTTAATTTTTAGTAAGTCCTAATTTCTTTCACCTTGTTGCACTTACATTAACCCAAGTTGTTATTATATTAAAAAAATACTGTGGGATTGTTTAAGCAACAAGAAATTTCAGCAATCCCTCTTCCAGATAAATTCACAAGAGCTTTAAAATATTTCCATGCAAAATTCTGGCAGCTGAATACTTTAGATATTAAATTACAAACAGATTCTCATCAATTTTGGATTTGCCAATGATATGATATAAATTTCCATCATATACCCAGATATCTTCTACTTTTTCCCAATGTCATATAAAAGATTTTTCTCCCTCCTCTTTTGTGTGAGCATCTATATTTCTCTTCAATTTAAATTATTAACACCTATCCATAGAATCTATGTAATAGAATCATTTTTTTAAATCTGTCATTTAACCTAGTTCTAGGGAACATTAGTGTGAAGCTTCATGTGTTTGTAGTTCCCATCTGCAATATATAGCAACTTATATAAAGCTTCACCTCTTGAGGATAATGATTCATCTTAAAGAGCCAGACACCATAGAAAGAAAAAGGTGTTTGCAAAAGTTTTATTCTAAAGGATCAAAAATAAATATTGCACATACACACAAGAGAAAATCCACAGATATTTATATTCTCCAATGCATACTTTCAATACATGGCACCTTCATCTTCTTTATTTAGAAAATATATTGTTATTGGTCCATAACTGGTATGCACAGTCTCTGTGACTCTGGCAAATAACCAGGAGCCAAGTCCATATAATAAAGTTGGAATACCTAGAAAACAAACGAATATGTTACTTGTGAACATCAATACTTACTATTCATGTGTCCATGTATTTGTCACATTACTAATCATATAACACTTGTCAGTAATGTTAACAAATACTCACGTTATAATTTCATCTATGTTTGTCAAACACATGGCAATTATGTGAACCTAAAGATTCTCAAAACTGTAGCTAAGGCTGAAGTAAATTTTAATTTTCCCTAATGCATTACCTTCAAGTAGTTATGAAGTAATTCTATATTCCCTTCACAAAAAAGCAAATGGAGAAGAATAGTCATTAATTTAGTTATAAATGCTCCTGATTATTAGCTTTGAGCTAATAATTACTAGGTCAACTCTACTGTCCTTTAAATACATAGTAATATTGATGGCTAAAGTAATTTTTGTACAACTTAGAAACTGGGTCAAATAGCTATCTTCAAAATCTAAGGCAAAACCTAACTCAAAAGATCTCACTGTCAACAAGCATGAGAAAAAATATTCTCATTAAAATTTCTACAATTGATTTGAAAACAATCTTGTTTCAACCTATTTGGAATAAGTATATAGGACACTCTAACACATTGTTTCTTTGGAATATTGCCATTGATAAGATTTTGCTGCTTTTGAGATTAGCTGCCATTCGTCATACATGAAAGTAAACACATACTACCCAAGAATGTGGATTAAACCCTCATAAGCATACAATACTGTATTACATACAAAATGAACTTTCACAATTCCTGTATTTTTAAGGCACTAAAAATCAATGACTACTAATATATTAGAAGCATATTATAAAACCACAGTCACATGAATCAATGACAAATGTAGTATACTAGGCACAAGTATTAATTTTATTGCTCCCGTGTGCAAAATGGGCAGAAAAAGACAATCTAAAAGCTTAGCTGCACATTTGGAAAATCACTTCTTTCTAGTTAATAGGGAAATCAGCACATGTTCAGGACAGATAATTTTGCTAAATTTTCTTTTATTTTTCTGCAGAAGTATACTCATGTATCATACTCTTTTTGCATGTGTAAGTGTGTGGGACTACTCTGTGCTTATTCCCCCCTGGAGCTGCATTCCAGCCTCTGTGATGCCACAGATTAATCAGGAGAAGCATCAGTAGCTGGGATTCAGGAAAGAGAAAAATATGCCCTGTTTCAGGCTGGGTTTTATCCATTTTTAGGGATATACTGGATCATAGTTTGCTATTATCACAAAGTACCCTAAAACCCCAATTAAGCCTTTTATAGTATGTTGCCTTCTTTGCCTGGAGAATGCCCAAAACAATCTCAAACACTTCAAGAGACTGACACAAAAATTTCACAAAAACTAGGTAGTAAAGCTATTTGTAAATTTTTATACAGAAAGGAAGGAAGGAAAGAAGGAAGGAAGGAAAGAAGGAAGGAAGGAAGGAAAAAGTAAGTGGCACTAGAGTTAGGTAGGAAGTAGACAAATGAAATAGGGGAACAACATAGGCAGAAGTGAGGAAGGAGGACAGGGAGCAGTTGTTATAAAAAATAAATTCAAAATGCAGTATACAACTCCAAAAACTGAAAAACAATGCAGTGAGGGAGGAGGAACAGACTCTAGAAGCAACTGTTAATTTTCTAAAAAGGGTAAAATATGCCTTTTAAGATAATGCTGAGGCTATAAATTTAAGGAATGGTGATGATGCTAAAAATTTTGTTTTATATGATTTACTTCAGTTTTCAATTAAAATATTGATATTTTGAAAAAATCATACTTTTGAAAAAAAATCACACAAATAAATGGCCAATGTTCTTTCAACTAAACAGAGGACTGATTAAAGATTGCTAGTTTAATGATAGCTACATTATCTCATTAAAAAACAACTAGGAACTAATAATTAGTAATACTGTTTGATAGAGGATGAAGTTGTGATATGGGGAGTCAGAAATTCTGTATTTCTTTTTCTCTGCCATCTACTTATGTAATGCAGAAAGACTGATACACTAAATGAGAAGAGTTGCCACTTCTATAATTTATACATAAATTTTTTTCTTTGCACATCTCTCATGTGGTTTAAAGTCTATAAGATTCCATGAAAGATTATATTTTTTCCAGACTATCTGAAACACAGAACATCAAAATTAACTTGAAAATAATAATAATTCAGTTTGAGTCAGTTGAACAGTAGGTAAACCACTGTCAAATTAAGCACTTAAAAAAAATTAGAACTTTGTAGTAAGTCTCTGATTACCCATTCATTTCAATGGTAAGTTGCTTTTCTTAAATCTCAATCTATTTCCCAGCAGGATACTCAGACTGATAAACCATCAGTAAAATGTCAGCTTTCATTGAAGGGAAGGTGGAGGAGAAAGAGAACAAATGGGTAAACAGAAATCTTTATTATTTACAAAATGGAAAAATGAATTATCTGATAATTACTAGTTTGGAAAGGAAGAAAAAGAATAAAATCCTTATTGATAATATATATTCTTATTAACGTACTTGATGATCCAGAGGGGCAAGTGTATATCAGAGAACAGGAAAAGATTCTAATTCATACTCCCTTCCTTCAGACAAAAATAAAAACTAAATGTTACCAAATTGGGGATTACAGTACCCTTTAAAAAGTCCTGAAAAAAAATTCTCTTTATTGTTGTAAGCCATTTTGTTTTAAAGCATATGTGAGCAAGAAGTTTTCCTTTTTGCTGCATTTAAAACTCTTATTCCCATTTAAGCAGGATTTTTAGAATTTCCAAAAAGAACATACAGACCTTTTCCACATAATAAAACAACTGTTGTTCTCAAAGGTTTTCATTTTCTTTTTCAAAAATGTCTTAATATCTACATCTAAAAGAGAAGCCCTTAATCATTAAGATGATCTTAAACAAAATGTTGAGTTTTTAATTGTTACACTTTTTTTTAAAGGCATTCAGTTTATATGGTTTGTCTATAGCTTTACCATGATACTTTTCATAATCTATTACTTACATTTGGGAAAGAATGATTTTTTTCTGATTCTGAAAATGTTAAACTCATTCTTCTTGAATCTAGTTATCATTCCAGTTTTTCCAAATACTTTTGCATTTAATTTTCTAAATAACCTCACTCATCAACTTTTTGCCAGCCTCAAAATTGGTTTGGTATAGTCCATCAGTCAAACAATAAGACATACTTTTTAAAGGATTAGACGGTTGCTAAATAATCTTTTTCTTACTGAATTGAGCCTAGGACAGTCCCAATGAAGCAATAGCTTAAAAATCCCATCAGTGAAACATGTGAATTATTATAAGTAAAAATACAGTGCCATATTTAAATTAAATGACCTTTCAGACTTTACAATATTAGTGCAGCTACCAAGCGTTTAATTCTGGCTTTATAAATCTAGTTGGTAACATGGTTCAGCTTCCATGTCTAGATTTTGAATCACTGAAATCTAGATCAATTTTCTATCAGCTACCAACAGATCCAAAGTATCTTGAGACCGTATATTTTTCCTTGACCTATAAAATGTCCATGTTCATGCCTCTCTTTCATTTAATCAAAAGAAAATAAACATCCAGTGAAAGAAAATACTGTCACGAATGTTTCCAGGAAAACATACAAATATTAAAGAGGCAGATTATTTTAAATGCCCTCCAGATCTAGGACTGGAGGCAGCTAATATGCCAAGGGAAAACCTTTAGGCCATTTAATAAAACAAACGTGGTGAGATTTCATATAAAGAAAACAAACTTTAAAAAGTTGTTTCAGTTTTTGTCCTATAAACGCACCCACACAGTGACGTTCAGGGGAACTAATCCTGCAATGCACTGAGACACTTCTTAACCAGGAGTGCCACTGTGCAGTGGGGACATTTCCTTACACCCGCCTCACTACCCAGTGCAGGGCCTTCCCAGGAGCAGGACGTGCGCTGGCCTACTCCCTGCCTCGGTGGTGCTGGATGGACCCGTAGTACCGGCCAGTGGGCAAGCCCACTCTGGGGACAAACAGTCCAGCAGCCAACAGCTCAGCGGCCGAGCACTTCCTGGGGGAATACAAAGGACAGGTGCAGAAGGCGGGTCCCAGAAGGCCGCCCTGGGGGTGGGGCCGGACGGCGCGGGACCCGCGAGCCTGTGCGGGGTCGGGCGGCTTTGGCCTAAGAGCGCGGACGTCGGTGGCGTGCTTAGAGGACAGTGCGACCGCCTTGGGGGGACGTGCTTCGCTGGGTAGGCGCGGCCGTCACCACTCACCGAGGTTGACGACCTTGAGCGCTGTGAAGAAGCGATTCTGCGGAGCTAGGTCCTGCCAGGGGGCCTTGGAGCAGTGGTACTTGATGAAGGGGAAGCAGCCGGTGCGCAGGACGTGGTAGTTGGCGCCCTGCACAGGCCAGTTGAAGTGCGAGAGGCCGAACTGGTCGTTGCGGACGGCGCTATAGGGCACGCAGAAGGAGGTCCAGTGCGGCAGGCGCCGCTGCAGCAGGTGCCGCGTCAGCACCTCCGAGGCGCGGGGCTTCGGGCGGGAGGCGGCGCCCGAGGCCCAGGGCCCGAACAGCAGCAGTCTCAGCGCAGCCTCGTGGGCCCTCCGCAGGGCCTCCATAACCCGCCGCGCGGAGAAAGTAGGACCGCGCCTGCCGCGGGGGCGGGGCCTCCGGAGCGCGCGTGCGCGTGCCCGCTCCCCCGCAGCGAGCGGCGGGAACGCCCAGCGGGCGCAGCGCGGGTGCCCGAGGGTCCCCCCTGGGTGCGGAGGCGCGTGCGCACAGCGTGCCCGCGTCCTCCCACGAACCCCTGTCCGGGGAGCGGAGCCCTGCAGGGACTGGAGGGGCTGCCCGCGCGGAAGAGTCAGGGGTCCCTGCGTTAAGAAGGTAGTTAAATTGTTGCTTGTGACCCCCGGTAGTCATTAGTAATCCTGGAGCCGGGGAGGCTTTACCACTTTGAAAATGGGGTGTAGAGTGTAAAACAATTAAATTGCCGCCCTAGTGAGTTGCAGAACTCAAACCCAGGTCCTTTGAAGCCCCTTCCAGTCTTTGAGCTCGGGTGAAATCCTGAGTTGACCTTGTGGAACTTGAGAAGATGTCCTCAAGGAAGTGAGCCAACACCTCAGATGTACCTTGGCTGGTAATGTCGGAGAACACTCATGTTCTCTTTTCTCTGTTCACTGTCAAACAAGTCCTAGATATTTCAAGATAAAAAGATTATTTTAAAAGAATGCCCCATGTGTCTGGGTGAGCATACAGGCGTGCAGAGTACTCGCTCCCAAGAACCTGGTGAACACCAGAGCAGGTTGGCATAGTTATCACCCTTTATAATTCTCAGTTACTGGTATTCAATCTGTTGCTTCAGGAAAACCTTTCTCGCACTTGACAGCCTGTTAAGGTGATAATTTCTATAACACCTACTTTCTGAAGAAGAGTTCCTCTCATTTGTCCTAACTTGTGTTTGGAGAGGCCATACATAAATAACATGAGATGTCCAGAAAAACCTTATGTGAATTATGTGTAAGCACCATAAAACAATTACTGTTGTTGCTGAAAAGTCAAGGAGCATGTAGGATTATGTAGCTGGTTTTATATTCTCTGGTTTGATTCATTCAACAAACACTGATTGAGCACCCACTATCATATCCTAAATCTTGTAGTCCTTGTAGTCATGTAAATAGATTGAACTTTATAGGATTCCCTATGAACTTTATAGGATTCCATATTAGATAAAAGTTCCTTTTTTTTTTTTTTTAAGCTTTTACGTACAGGCAAGATATATTTACCAAAGTACAAGGATAGCAGAAAGGACGGCTGGAGGGAGGCAGGGAGATGCAGCAGTACTCTAACCTACAAATTGAATTTTGAATCTAAACAAATCCTTTTTCAAACAAAATCCGTCATAGAACCTCAACATATAGATTAAAACTTGTATTTTGTTGCTAAACCTAAGTTCAATTTTTAAAAAATATTTGATTTTTTTAAGTTGTAGTTGAACACAATACCTTCATTTTATTTATTTATTTTTATATGGTGCTGAGCTACAACCCCAGCCCCCTAAGTTCAATTTTCTTAACATTAGCTTTAAGCAAACAATGAAACTGTATGTTATTATCTTCAGTTTAATTTGGTTTTGAGCAGTCTTGGGACATATGAAAAGAAAACTGGGTAGGTAAAATAATTCAAAGTCTTCAGAATCAAGCTCAGAAAAATGGGAAGGAACCAAGGGAGTCTGGACCATAAAGACACAGGTAAAAGACCAAGAGGATCTAGTTTTATTTATTTATTTGGTGTTGGGCATGAAACCCAGGAACTTGTGCATGCAAGGCAAGCACTCTACCACTGAGCCACAACCCCAGCCCAGAATCTAGTCTTAAGGAGGATGCAGGCTATCCTCATGCCCCTGGACTCAGAACTCTGATGTTTACTGTTAGAGACTGTAAACAAGTCAGGATGGCGCCTGGCATTTTGCCAGGGGAATATTAGAGTCTGTAAACAAGTCTAGATGGCACCTGGCAAAATGCCAGAGGAAGTGGTTTGTGAAGTAAGGCCAGCGAGCCATTAAGTGTGGAGATTTCTTATTGGTTGACTGATGTATCTAGTTTATGCTAATTAAGATAAGCTGTGTGGAATGTATAAATACAGCTCCTGTCCTACAATAAAGGGCTCCTACTCCTGCTGTATCAATCTACACAAGTTGTTCGTCACCCCCCCACCCCCCCACCTCATTATTTTGCTGCAGCCGGACTGCGGTAGTTTACACTATGTGGAGTTTGCGGGCTGTGGGCAACAGTTGTAGTAACAGCAGCCTTAGCTTATTTCTATATCTTCCATTTCAGTTGTAGACTATCAAGAAAATCCCCAACCCTCCAGAGGGGTAGATACAAAGAAGAGCAGGTTTTGAATGATTCTCCTTAAAATCTGGGTATGTTCTTCAGTTACAAAGATAGCAGGAAATTAATTATGAGATCTACACTAAACTCAAACTTATGGGCAGTTTGTGATCTGTTAAGTTTTGGCATGATATCCCTTTGGGAAATAAATAAATAATAAAATGTGTTTTTGTTTTGAGATGGAGTTTCACTGTGTTGCCCAGCTGGTCTCAAACTCCTGGGCTCAAGTGATCCTCCTGCCTCACCCTCCTAAATAGCTGGGACTCAAAGTCATGGATCATGCCTGGCTAAAATCTGTTTATAAACAAGTGAAATTTGGCATATATGATTATATGAACCGTGTCACTCTATATCATGTACAACCAGACAAATGAGAAGTTATACTCCATTTATGTATGATGGGTCAAAGTGCATTCTACTGTCATGTATAACTAATTGGAACAAATACAAATATATTAAAAATAAGTGAAATTGGAATCAAACATGCAGAAACCCTGACTACAGTATGTCTGGCATATAATTAATAACCACTGACACAGGGGTTGGGGGTACTTTTCTTGTGCATGGATAATGCCCCTGAGTTCAATCCCTGGTACCAAAACCAAAACAGACAAACATAATAATACCCAACAGAAACTGTGTGCATGTTTTCCAAAACACATGTACTAGTACCACAATATTTACAACAACACTATTCATATTTGTAATATTTGATCTGGAAATTATATGCCTATCAACAGTACAGTGGATAAATAGTGGAATATTCGTAAAGTGGAATATTATACAGCAATGAGAAGGAATGATCTATAATCATGTATACATAATCCCACAAACAAGATAAAGTGAAGCTAGAAACAAAAATGCTGACTTCCTTTATATGAAGCAAAATCTCATCTCTACCATTAGAAGACAAGACAATAATTATCATCTTCAGTAGAATGAAGCAGTGGGAAGAGCCAGTGACTGAAGGACTGTGAGGACTTTGGGGGACTGGCATTGTCCTCTATATATGAGTTTTGGTTTAAATGAATGTATTCAGTTGGTGAACATTCTTTTAACTGAACACATACGATTTGTGTGCTTTTCTGTTTATATATTATTCTTCAACAAAAGTTTGAAAAAGAAAAAAGTTAATTCTAAAGGTAGTGTTACATATTAACACATCCACATATACTATTATTAGTGTTCATTAAGGAAATATAGAGAATATAGCTCTGTGGCCCTGATCTTTTACATATATATATATAGGTAAAAGGGTCTCACTACATTGCCCAGGCTGGTCTTAAACTGGTGAACACAAATGATCCTCCCACTTCAGCCTGTAGTTGGGACTGCAGGTTGCACCACCATATTGTGTTGACAATCACACCGTGAGATCCTGATATATTCATATGTGGTAATTCCCCCTTATCTGAGGTTTCAATTTCTGTGCATTGTTACCTACAATCAACAAGAAAAAAGGTGAATGCAGTACCATAAATTATTTTGAGATAGATCACATTCACATGAATTTTCTTCCAATATGTTCTTAAAATTGTTCTATTTTATTCTTAACTTCTTACCATGCCTTATTTGTAAATTAAGCTTTATCATAAATGTGTACATATAGGAGAAAACAGTGTAGATAGGGCTGGTACTCTCTGGGGTTTCAGGCATCCCCTGGGATTTTAGAATTTATCTCCTGCAAATAACAGGGCACTGCTGTATTTCTGATCATGTGGCTTAAAACCGAGTAGGGAATTTACCAGTTCTTACTCAGAGGAAGAATTATAGGAGTGATGATGGTGTGTTTGTCGGCATGTTGGTGAAAGATATAGAAGATAATTAGAAACTATTTTGAAAATTTATATTCTAATAAAATAGAAAATATTGAATACATTGTCAAGTTTCTAGAGACATATGACCTAACCAGACTAAATGAGGAGATCATACATGATTTAAATAGATCAGTTTCAAATAATGAAATAGAAAACACCATCAAAAGCCTACCAACCAAGAAAAGCCCAGGACCAGATGGATTCTCAGCCGAGTTTACAAGACTTTCAAAGAAGAATTAACACCAAACTCATCAAAGTTTTACATGAAATAGAAAAGGAGGGAACCCTTCCAAACTCATTCTATGAGGCTAAGATCACTCATCACATTCTATGAGGCTAATATATACCAAAACCAGACAAAGACCCATCAAGAAAAGAAAACTTCTGATCAATATCCCTGATGAACATAGATGCAAAAATTCTCAATAAAATTCTGGCGAATTGCATACAAACATATTAAATAGATAGTGCACCACAATCGAGTGAGATTCATCCTAGGGATGCAAGGTTGGTTCAACATACAGAAATTATAAACATAATACATCATATTAATAGACTTAAACACAAGACTTATATGATTATCTCAATAGATGCAGAAAAAAGCATTTGACAAAATACAGCACACCTTCATGTTCAAAACACTAGAAAAATTAGGGATAGTAGGAACATACCTCAACATTGTAAAAGCTATATATGCTAAATCCAAGGCCAGCTTCATTCTAAATGGAGAAAAATTAAAAGCATTCCCGCTAAAAACTGGAATAAGACAAGGATGACCTCATCCATCACTTCTATTCAACATCATTTTTGAAACTCTAGCCAGAGCAATTAGAAGAAAGAAATTAAAGGGATACAAATAGGTAAAGAAGAACTCAAACTATCACTATTTGTTGATGACATGATTCTATATCTAGAAGATTCAAAAATTTCCACCAGAAAACTTCTAGAACTAATAAATGAA